TGTGGCTGTTGCTTGGACACCACACACACAAACACACCCCAACCATCTCCTCGTCACCCCTCATGAAGGCCTGGGACAGGGAAGGGGAAAGTTGCGGGGTGGGGCTGGGAGGCTCCCAAAATAGACACTGCCCAGTGCCCAAATGAACCCAGGACAGGAATCACCCAGCCTCAGAGGGATAAGAATAATAAAATGAGTTACCAACACCTAACTCCTCACCACCCAGGGCACAGGTAACTAACAGGCAACGAGAGCAACTCACATGGTGCACCAGAGGCAAGGCAGTTCTGTTCTGAGCCACTGACACTCACTGACACATGGCTCCTCATAAGGACCTCTTAGGCTCCAGAGCCCGTGGAAAGGCAGAGCCAACCTGTGCTCCTGGTCACTGGTTCAACAGCATACACCGCACACAACATCCAGACTACAACCACCCCACAGAGGCTGCCAATACCCCATCACACAGGATTGGAGGAACCAAGGCCCAGGTACATGGGTGGCTTCCTGGACCCTGCAGACCATCTGGCCCTAAAGACAGCATCTACGGAGCTCCTGCCACAGACAAGGCACCAACCACATTTCCTGCTCCTTACCTCCCTCTTCCAAGCCTCACAATCATGGAAGCAGAGGCCATTGTTGCCACAGGCCACCATGGGAGGGAGGATACCTCCTCCTGGGCAAACAGATGCTGGTGCCTCTCTAACAATGCCTTCTGCGTTCTCTCTGCCCAACCCTTCCTTCTGAGTTCTCTACATAGCCCTCCACTATATCCCTAAACCCTCTGACCTGCAACCTGAGTGACTGTGACTGTGACTGTGAGGTAGGGGACCAGGAAGAAGATGGAGCCCCATGGCAGAGCAGGACAGTTGCAGCAGACTCCCTCGCCTCCCTCCTATCTGCCCACTCCAACAAGGGGACCACCCTAGGCTCAGTACAGGAGGCATGGCTGGGATGTACCTTGGAGAACTGACAATCCTGATGCGATATGCTGTCAGTTCCTACACCCAGGCCTACAAAGGTGGAATAAAGGAAAGGGTTGTGATGGGTGGCAGCCATTATGGAAAGGTGGGGGCAGGAAGAGGCAGAAACAGGCTTCAAGACTGCCACAGAGCAGGGGCAACTGAAGAGCCCCACTCCTCCCTGGCCTCCAGGTCCTAGTCCACAACTCACTGGGACTTGCCCCTGAGCCCCTGAGCCCAGACTGCTTTTCCAATAACCGTTCTAAAATACTAACTTGAACACCTCATGTTTGTTCCCACTAGAGTTTTGCACTAAGGGCCCTGAGGACCAGGCCCCCATCTCCCATCCCCTTTGCTAAGCCCACACTCAACATGCTCAGTGACATACTGCTCCCACCCCTACAAGGCTACACCCGAGGCTCTGAGGCCCCGTCACCCAGTCCCAGTTCACTTTGCTAACTGACCGACCTCCACCCTCCACAGAGCTCCAATCCTACTCCCCGGGGGGTAGGGTGCAGGCAAGGGGCATGCCTGATATCATCTCTACCAGAGAGAGCTCCAGGCTCCCTATGTTCCGCTATCTCAGAGGTGTCTCCTTCACAGCCCACAGACCCCAGGAAGACCCCTCCAGTGTGTGTAGCCCCCAGCACTGTGCTGGACACCCCACACCCTGAAGGCCTTAAGGGTCTTTGTGGATAGAGGCATTGTCATATTATCATCTGAAAAGGGACAACTTTGACCAAAGCGCCTAGCACCTCCACTGTACCATCATTCTAAGGACTTCACAATCATAACTCAACCGGCTCTCTTGACTATCCTCCAAAGGAGGAACTGCTGGCACCATTTTTTTTTTTTTTAATATTTGTTGTTTAGCTGTAGTTGGGCACAATACCTCCATTTCACTTACTTTTATGTGGTGCTGAGCCACAACCCCAGCCCCTGCTGGCCCCATTTTACAGGTGAGGAAATTCAGACACACCAAGGTAACTGGCCAAGCCTAGATCTGAGAGGCAAACAGTAGAATTAGCACTCAGACCTGAAGGTGAATTCTCAGAGCATTAGAGCCTTGTGCCAGCACTGGGCCTTCCTGGATGAATGAGTGAGCTCCAGAAGGCTGCTTCCAGAACTTGCCCTGCATCAGGGACAGCTGGCCATGGCACCTGAGCTGGCTATCCCCTCAGGAGCTTGGCATTTCCAGGCCAACATTCCTGCTCCTGAGGGGGAGGTGGCTGGACACTAAGCTCCACATCTACCTCATCCCAGCACTTAACTGGCATACATGAGGCCCTGTGTTCAATCCCTAGCAATACACACACACACACACACAGAAGGCAATGGTCCTCATGTCCCCTGTGGACCAGCTGTGATAGCATAGCTCACCCCTGCCCATCAGTGGGACACTGTCATTCAGACACCTCATTTGTTCTCCAACCTCGCACCATCAGAAATCCAGGGGCTTAGCAAGGCTTCCCAGTCCAGATCCAGGCACTGCTGACCCTCCATCTCCTCTCTCCCTGCACAACCACCAGCCCAAACCAGGTGCTCACTGCCTCATCCTCCTCAGCTAGCCAGCCAGTCAGCAGGAGCTTGCTCAAATGACAGACCCTTAGTGGCCTCCTGTTGCTCTCAAATACCACCTTGAACTAGATCTTCAAGCCTCTCTCATGCCATGTTCTACAACTTCCCTGGGCATACGGGTCTTCTTTCTGCCCCCAGAACATGCTACAGCCAGGCACAGTGGTGCACACCTGAAATCCCAGATACTAGGGAGGCTGAGAGTCTGAGGCAGGAGGATCACAAGTTTGAGGCCAGCCTTGGCAACTTAGCAAGAACCTACCTCAAAACAAAAAATAAAAAAAGCTAGGGATGTAGCTCAGTGGTAGAGTGCCCCTGGGTTCAATCCCCAGCCCCCAAAAAGAAAACAATAAGAACAAACAGAACATGCTATGCCTGGATCACCTTAATGACTCCCCCAATAATGGGTTTCTTATGCTTTTGTCTCTTGCTAAGCGTTCTTTTCACAGAACAGGGAGCCCACATTAGGGCTTTCCCCACCTAGCCTAGCAGAACCAGCCCCCAGCCCCTCTTTCATCCACTGTTCTGTTGTGTCTCCCTGGGACAAGCATTTTGACCCACACAGCACTGAGTGTTGTCTGGAAGCAACGTGACCACACAGTAATGGTGTACTTGCACTATATACACATAAACTGCCTCTGAGGATACTTCTTCAAAATCTTCCTCACTAGGTTACCAGGAGCACCTGGAGCAGCACCTCACACAGAACCCGGCACTGTGGCAGTAACTGCTCACAAACACTAGTTGAAAGATAGCCCCATCTCCAAACTAGTGGTCACAAGGTTCCTGCCCTGTGACGGGATGCTGCTGTACCACTCCCACCCCTGGCCTGGACCCCTCCTAGCCACAAAGGCAACTGGGCTGGCTGGGAGGGACAGGCTGGCCTCCACAGATGGAGTACTGGGTGTATTCTCCCCCAGTGTGAGAGAACATAAAAGCACCCTGCTGCACAGGAAACATGCCTGCACCGTGGGACTCCCCATTCTGCTCAGATGCCAGACCTGAGTCCTCAGGGACCTGTCCTTGGTTTCTACTCCACTTGATGATGAGGAATGCAACAGGCTGACCTAGCGCCTGCCACCAATGAGAAAATGGAGGACCATTGAAAGGGACACCAATCCAAAGCACACTGGAGCAGGATGCATTTCCTGATTTGGGTGTACCTAGGACTAGCATTATCTCAAGGGACAACCACCAAATTAATCACGACTCTAATTTCTGGCTGAAGCCCATGCAGTGGGAACCAACAAGAAGTTCAACATGGTGAACACACAGCCTCTCTACATGGAGCAGCAAGGAGGCCAGGCAGGTCAGAAAGTGGCCCACACACGCAGAGCCACACGCTGTAAAGCCCCACTGACAGGAGTGTCCCGAATGGGCAAGTCCACAGACACAGAAAGTGGATTAGTTTTCAGGAATCAGGGCAGGGTGGACAAGTGGGGATAATTTCCTTTGGGGGTTATTTTTTTTTTTTAATTTTCTAAAATCAACTGTAAGAGTAAGAAAACAGAAAAAAATAAATTATTAGCAATGGTTCCACAAGGTTGTGACCACATTAGGAACCATGGGTTGGTCACTTCAAACGGACAAACTGCATGGCATATGAATGGTATCTCAAAACTGTTACCAAAGAAACAGAAGCTGCTGAGGCGACCACACTGAGGCCAGGCACGAGCTTGTACTACATCCCAGCCAGCCCAGAACTGACAGGGGCCCACTGGCCTGGCCACCATGGCTCTGCTCTGGGGAGCCAATCCAGGTTGCCCCTGCCCCATCTCACCACCAACACCCCCTGTCCCAGCCAAGGGGCAGGACAGGGCCATGCCATGACAGCAGCTGTGGAGAATCCAGGCACTTGCACTCACAGCACCTCCTCTTTCCACACTGATAACGGGAAGAATTCCCACTGTCCCTAATGGAAAGGGGTCCAGAAGGACAGAGCCACTCAGCTACCATGAGGCAGAGCTAGGATTCTCCCCTTCCAATGTACCCTGGTCCCTTGACAGACAGCACTCACTCACTTCTAAGGCACTGGTTAAAGGGCACAGGGTACAACCCCTCAGACCCAAAACTTGTCTCACTCCTGCTCCAAACTCAGCCCCTGCTTCAGGGAATAGGCCAGGCTTCACTCCCAAAGTTGGATACCCAGAGAACTGGCCCTAGGGAGAGGGCTGGCTGACATGGGGTGTGGTATTCAGGGGCCTCTGTGAGCCCCAGGAACCCAGGCAGCCCTTAAATTCTCAATCTCAGGTCATTCTTCCAAAAATCAGAAATAGGGGGAAAGAATCAAATTCAACTGAATAATAATTGAGGCCCTCCAAACACTGGTTCTGACTGAAGGTACAAATACAGCAGAACTTTAAAAAGAGAGAAAAAGAAACTTTTCCCACCACAAAATCAATCCACTCTGGCTTCAAACCCTGACTCTCAGCACCCATCTTTCAATTTAATGAAAATTGCTGGAAACCTGGGAGTTGGCAAGATAGCAAAGTTTCGCATTCACTCTCTAACCTGGCACTTGGCTTCTCTGAGCCATGAGTCCTCGGCTGTGAAATGGGGGACAAAACTCAGGAGGGAGGACTGTTATGAAAATGAGCTGAGCTGCCCCTAAAATCACATCCAAATACTGGAACGGGATGGGTGGGAGACAGTCACCAAATGGCACTCAAAATAGAAAAGCAGGAGACAAACAACCTTTCCCCAAGTGACTCAAGCACTTTTCCTCAGATCATTCAAACACTCAGGCAGGCACCACACACACCGCCACCCCCACACTCTGCAACTTTCAGCAACTTCAAGAAAACGGAAGTTGACTACCACTAGTTTTGAGAGACCTTAGAGACCGTTTGAAAACCATGGCTCTGACTGCAAACGGAAGAAGGGGAAATTGTAAATGAGAAAGGAAGCCCTTAAAAACGAAAACTACCCCTGCTTCTCCTGCTAGCCCTAAACCACTGCCTGTTTTCTTGTTTTGCTGTGTTGTTCTAAGGCCTTCAACACCAGCTGCCCGTCAAAAGTCCTCCAGCCCCTTCCCTGGCGCAGACAAGGCTTCACTGCAGCTCCCACAGCAGCAGCCACATCCCCAAACACAGATGTGCCTACCAGGAAACCCATGGCCAGTCCTTTATCTGCCAAATCTTCCTAGTCCTGGCCCCCCAGCACCTGGAAATGGAGGAGGTTGAGGGCATGAGGCCTCTCAGAACCTCTGAGGACAGCCACCTGGCTACCAAGACTCAACAGAGGCTCCAGCTCAGGACAGGCCCATAGTCCAGCAGACTGTCTTAGGAGGGGAGAGAACCAGCTGCAGGCCTGCCAACATCCAGCTCCTTAAAAGGCTAGGTGGTTCAGAGTCAGCAAAACCTCTAACTTCACAGCACTGAACCGAATCTGGAAAGGGGGTTTGTGACACTGAATTCCAAGGACAGAGAAAGGACAACAACCTTACTGCCTCTGAGCAGGACCCACAGCTGCAGAACTGAACACCACCATGGCAGGATAGGCACTGCAAACAAACATTTGGGAGAAGGGACCGCTGACAGAAGGGGAGAGGGGCCTGGCTAAGGCTACAAGGTACAACTACATGGGACTTTCCAGGAGGTTGGGAAAGCCTGGGGGAAGGTCCCCAGTTAGAGGGCAAACCAGGCACCTCCCCCTCTGACAGCAGACCCCACTCCCAGGGGAAGTGGCAGCTGTGGCCCAACCTAAGGGATGTAGTACTTCAGAACAGTCTAGGGACACTTGGTCAAGGACTGGGGAGGAGACTCACATGATCCATTCTCCTGGACTTGTCACAGGTTTAAAGGAAAAGAACAGTGGACAGATTTAAAATAACCCGAGTGTAAACAAAAGGAGCAGAGTTAATATCACAGGTGATCTGGGTTCAAATCTTATCTTTCCAACTGAAATCTCTGTGGCCTAGACCAAGGACTTAACCCCAGTGAGCCTGTTTTCTCCTCTGGGAAACGGCTTACAGATGGGGGTCATTCTAAGGTAGCACTTCCTAGAAGAATCCGTAAACCCACTGTTCAAAGGAAATCCCTGGTCTGGCAACGTAGGAGGGCTTATCCCCAACAAGCCATGGTTCGCAAATCAGGGAAGAGGAAGACATCTCAGGCTCACCAGAGCGTCCAGGCCTTCCACCTCACCTCTTGCTACAAGAATGGCATAGCACCCAACAATTGGTGCACCTCACCTGACTGCTCTCAGCCCCAGCTGAGCGTTCCTTCTACCTTCCCTTCCATTCTGCAGGCTGACTAGCTCAAAACTGGGTGCTTGAGATCTTCTCACAGCAGTATTTCCTCCAGGAAGCTTCTCCATGCCTCCTTCTATATCATCCCCTGGTTATCTTAAGACAGCATCTGAGCCCTCTGGAAAAAATGCTAATTTCTCAGAATCTAGCATAAGGCAAGGTTCAGAGCTAAAGGTACTTGCTGGATTAAAAAAAAAAAAAAAACTGAAGGCAGTGGGGGAAGCTAACAGTCAAAGATCCTTTAAAAGGTCATCCTCTTGGGCTGGTGATATAGCTCATTTGTAGAGTGCTTGCCTTGCATGCACAAGGCCCTGGGTTTGATCCCTAGCACCAAAAAAAGAAAAGAAAAAAAAAATTCATCCTCAATGGAATGAAACAGTGTATGATCCAACAAAAGCAAACCACCAAAACGATGAAAGTAATCAAAATACAAGTAACACACTGACACTAACAAGTTTAATAGAGGAGATAAGCCCATATTATACCCAATGCTCAAGCAATAAAGCTGGGTTTCTCTCCATTAGCACTATTGACATCTGGGGCTGAAGTGGTTTCTGTGGTGAGGGGACTGTCATGTGTATTCTATTACTTTGAGCTGCATCCCTGGCCTCCACACGTACCCACTAGATGCTGGTAGCATTCCCTCTTCCAGTTGTAACAACCAAAAAGGTCTCCAGACATTATCAAATGCTTCCTGCCCAGTTGAAGGACATAAACTGCAATATATATCCCAAACCAAATAGTAATCTACAGAGCTATTGGTTCACTTACTGGGCCTTGTATTCTGCTATGGGAATCTACAAATATCCATGCTTAATCCCCAGAACCACCTATGAGGAAAGTTCTCGTGTTAACCCCACTTAAATGAGAAGGAGGCACAGATCACTTAGTAACTTGCCAGAGATCCCACCAATTAGAAAAGCACAGCCAGGACTGGCACTTAAGTCTGACAATCCATACTTGCCTTCACTACCTCTTCATGATCCTAATCCCAAAATTAAAGTCATTGAACATAGACAAAATGATACTCAGGGTTGGGGTGGTGGCTCAGTGG